CTGGATAAGTCCTGCTAAACACTTAGCAAATGCTTAGATTATTATCCCATGGTGGCAATTCAGAAGCCTACTACACAGGTGTATTCATACTGACTGCAATAGGGGGTGTAAACATATACACTCAGAGAATCTAGCTATTGCTGTGAATGACTCCGCAAAAGATTTCAACAGGGAGGCTTGCTAAAATAAATGAAGACATGATATGAGCAGGGACACTGTATATAAAATCCTTCAGATCCATTTGTGAGCATGAAGTGTGGGGAATTAAATATATGAATCCATGTGTGGGTAAACAACAAAAAGAAACGGCTGGGTGCCTGAATTCAAAACATGGGGCTAGCACACAGAGATCTCCAGCTGCAGGGTATTAAATTCACAAAATAAACAGCACAGTGAAGCATCAGGAATATAGGCTGTTAAACCTTTTTATCCAGCTTCAGCTACACACAGCAGCTAACCTCTTTCTACCCTCTCTTGCAACGAGCAGACCACACACTGTTAAGTAAGTTTAAAATGCTATACTTACAGATTCAAGGACTCAGTCATGCATTGTTCCATGCAACAGCAAGGATAAAACAAGCAAAATGCTCTTCAGTAGAAAATACAGCAAGATAGCTTCAGACATGTGCTCTGAGGTCTGAACTAGCTTAGACACATCTGTCTTTGTTGGCTACATGATGCAGAGAGAGAGAGAGAGAGAGAGAGAGAGAGAGAGAGAGAGAGGAAGAAGAGGAAAGAAACTTCACTTCCTCTCTGGAGGAGAGAGGGTGTGACTTAACTATCTAGCAATATGGGAAGCTTTTAGCATTATTTAATGATCAGCATACCAGAAAAGGCTCCACATTTCTGTACAGCAGAATGCTGTGGAAGGAACAGAACAGAGACAGGGTGCAGAGAGCATGGGATGGATGGGGGATAATCTAATAGTAATGATGTTTTTCTTTCCTTGAGCCACCTATTCTACCAACTTTGTGATATATGAATGAATATAACAAAGATTAAAGTAAAAAGAAAAGAAAAGTGCACATTTAGATTCTGCAGTATTCTTAGCAGATCATTTTCAGGTCCACCCCACCATCTAATTATCTGGCTATCAGATATCTGGCCAGCCCACCAATTGGGTAAAGGGGTTATTTGACACAGGTGTCATGTTTGAGAGGATTGCTGTAAGTGTATAGGGTACCTAGTGGCTTGAGTACAGCGGCTGTGCTACATACATCAAGAAAGCACACTTCAGGCCCTTCTATCCTTACCTTGTTTAACATAATGATAAGGGGAAACAATACATCAGGTGAGCGCAGCAGGAGTAAGTATGAATGCATTTTCTTTTTACTCACTTTTGGGCCTGCTTCGAGTTTTCCTGTGTGGCTTACAGTAATCAGTCACACAAATTGACAGAAATCAGGATTAAAATGTGGAACCTGAATCACAAATGAAAATTGTACTTAAAAACCTGGGTGCATAAAATGGGTTTTGCCCCATGCTGAAAAAGCAGAAGAACAGGTTGTGGGTGTGTGGACAGATGCCTGGGTGGGGGGGACCCTAGTCCTTGTCCACTTGCCTGTTAGTAGGTGAGTCACAAAGGGCCTCTGAAGAAGATGTACCTCATTGTTTAGGGAGGTTTATGTGGGTAGGGGTACTTTAAATAAGAGGAAAGGATGAGAACCAAAACACATAGGCCTTATATTCGGTTCCTTAGTGCTGAACACAGTAGTAAGGAAAAAGCTCACTTACTGTGCGTGTATTCTCTGTTAGAATTCCTGCTCTATGATTGCAGTCATGGGATTGTTGTCTTTCACATGACGTGGTATGTTTTGACTCCACAGAGTGGGAAGTGACGGAGACAGGATGTTTGTGTTACTGTGTTCCGTGAAGTGGGACTATTGTCCTTTGTTCTTTCTCTTTGCTGTCTGATGCTAGAGAGAGAGGGAGCCATCTTGCAGTGTTCCGTGTGTGTTTATATGTAAATAAAGTAAATTAGCCAAAATGCTGAGTTGCTGAGGTCTGTTATGCAAGCTACGAAGACTCTGTGGATCCCAAAGTGTGCCGGTGTTTGTTGGCATCGGTCAATGTGATGTTCAGGCTGAAGAAAGCTTTTGAAGCTCCCGAAGGAACGACCAGGAGGGAGAGAACATTCCAGTCAGGCATGTGTCTCTACCAGGGTCCTACTCAACTGGCTGGGGATTCTTACCTTCTTATTCTATGCATTGTGTTTCACAGGACTGTTTCTCTTGCCTTTTGTCTTGTTTGTTGTTAGCTGCTTTGGCACCATTGTGTGGAAAGGTCGCTTATTGTTCTTGATAGCACAGAGTTGTTGATAATCCTGAACGGGCATCTATCTAGGTGTGCAAGTGCCTAGATGTGATTTCGTTAGTGTCCTTCCTTATCCAGTACAATATACCCTCAAGATAGGCCTGGTTTTGAAAGAGTAACCTGAAGTTTGTCTCCTAGAAATCATCCAAGCGTCTTGTATATTATATTTTAACATGTCCCCATGTTCCTGTTGTGCTTAGTATATCATTTTAGCATGATGGAGAATATTAAGAAGTAGTTACAGCTCCCTACAGCTTTAAGAACAGATGTTTGAAACATAATTTCTGTGGTGCACCCAGCCTTTGGATTGAATCAAGACAAAGGCTGCAATCCTAGGCATGTTCACCTGTTAGTAGCTCCATTTAACTGAGTTGGATTTGTCTCCGAGTAAATGTGCAGAGGACTTGCACTGTTACACAGGGCCCATTTTTTAAAAACTTGAAAAAGTTAGTGATGACTTGGGTCTCATTTATTTCACTGGGAACTAAATGCAACTTACAGTGCAATTCTTTGTCTGTTCAGGAGTAACTTGTTGAGTTTAATCGAAATTACTTCCTCATAAGCATACCTAGGATGGCAGACTTAGTCTGGCTCCCACCTGTTTGCTTAAAATTAATAATGCTTGTGTTGCGTTAGACATGCCAAAAGAACATAGGTGAAATCATAGAATTGTGCAGTTGGAAGGCACCTCATCTAGTCCAACCCCCTTGGAATAAGGAATAAAAACAAGAAGTTACCTTTGATAACTTCAAAATATGCAATTGAAAGTGGCTCTGATTGCAGATCCTTATATATGCACATATACACATGCTGTACGTGTGTGTGTGTGTGTGTGTGTGTGTGTGTGCTTCTGTATATTGCTTATGTTAACCAAAACTATCACCAAGAAATAATGACCTTTTTAACTTTTGTCAGCTCTCTTGACAGAAAAGGGATAATAACCCTGGATAAGTAGAAGGTTGGGGTGGTTGGCACCTAGGGTTAAGTAATTTTCAAATAACCACTGCAGCTGTTCCTTTAAGAATACCCTGATGTGCAGACATTAGCAGGCTATAATGTTTATCAAGATGGCCTGGCTTCATCTGCTGATGTCTGTACATCAAGCTGCTCTTAAAGTCATAGGAGCAGGCCAGCCCGGTTATCTTTCTGATTATCTAACAACTCTTCAAGTTCAGAATAAAATATGAGACTTCTTTTATATTTGAACTGTAGTTTCAATTTTTCACTGTGACCCTATATCACAATTCTGTTTATGACATTTTAGTATTGGTTTCCCATCCTATGAACAACATGGCCTTTGTTTTGGAACTTTTCAAAAAATATATCTATGTAGTTTCTCTCATTAAAAAAAGCTACATGCTTGAAGTTAAATATGAAATAGTATGGTACCGGTTAAAGATAGACAGGTAGAAGGAATTTGGCACGAGAGGTTGATTTGATGCATGCACTGAAAGATATGAATAGGAGTTGAACACTTAGTAATGCAGGGCTCAGCAAACTTTTTCAGCAGGGGGCCGGTCCACTGTCCTTCAGACCTTGTGGGGAGCTGGACTATATTTTGAAGGGGAAAAAATGAACAAATTCCTATGCCCCACAAATAACCCAGAGATGCATTTTAAATAAAAGGACACATTCTACTCATGTAAAAACACGCTGATTCCCGGACCATCCGCGGGCCAGATTTAGAAAGCAATTGGGCTGGATCTTGCCCCAGGGCCTTAGTTTGCCTACCCATGCTCTGGACGAATGTCCACATTGAGAGGTTGGCAGGGGTTGAAATGGGCATTTAGGAAATGTGGACAGGTTGAATAACACTATAAACAAGTGCGGAAAAATTCAGGCTCCTTCAAATGATTAAAAAAATTGACTAATCTGTACAAAATCAAGAGCAAATGAATGACTGGCAAAGGAGAAAGAGGAAAGGATAAAGATGAAGCCAATGGATTTGCCCTGGAGGTGAATTGGGGGACACAGCAGGAAAATCCCAAACCTTTCCAATCTCCCTGGCCCCTGGATTGAGTGGTTCTGTTAGGTTTTTTTACAAGTTTGTTTTTAATGTATTTTTAAACAAACGTATTGCATTACTAGTGTTGACCAAACCAAGCCCTACAAGCATCTCATCTTACAAAGAAGGGGGGAGGGGGCAGGGGTAGCAACGTGAATAAAATATTGGGTTGGAGGGCAAGTAAGCCCCGCTTTGCATAATTGATCACATGGTGCAGTGCAGAGACACTATTTGAATGACAATGTCCATCAACTTGGGGTTTGTGTGGTCCCCTTAAATATTTTATGAGTGGGCGGGGTATAAAGAATAAATTGTTGCTGTTTTAGGCAAAGCCCCATGGCCCCTAGGAGTTGGCTCCTATGAGTGGGGTGGGGGATTTAAAAACTGGATAATTTGTCTTCCTTGCATCATGTTAGGAGCATGAGGTGGCTCTTCATGTCACTTGGACCGTATGGGTGGTTTATAATGCACGGTTCTGAGAACCGGCCTCCTCTTTACACTTAGGCGTCGCCGCTGCTGCATATGCTTGCTTCCTAGAGCTGCCCATGGCAGCAGAAGCGCTAGCAACATTCCAAAGGCCTAAGGACTACATTTCCCATCAAGCCACGGGGAGCGGGGTGGTGGTGGGAAAAAACAACGAAGCATCCGGAAACGGGCAGCGCTTCCGGCGGCTGCGCCTGAGAGGAAAGAAAGGCGCGAGACTACACTTCCCAGCAAGCCACGGGAGACGAGCCGGGCCACGTGACCTTCGCCAGACTTTTAATTCTGCCTGCCTGGCTTGCCGTGAGGCGCAGAAGAGTCCGGCGACGGCCGCCGCCCCCTTTCCGCGGAGGGAGCGAGGCGGAGCGCAGGCGCCCTGCTGCCGCTACCACAGCTATGGAGCCGGAGCTGGGGCCCCCCTCGGGCGCCTCCGCCTCCTTCCCGTGCCCCCCGCCGCCGCCGCCCCGGGAGCAAGAGCGGAAGCTGCAGCAGGAGAAGCTCTCCGGGGTAGTGAAGAGCGTCCACCGGCGGCTGCGCAAGAAGTACCGCGAAGGTAAGGCAGGAGAAGCCCCGCCGCGCCTCTGCCCCTCTTCCCGCGGAGCCAAGGGACCGGGCGGAGGAAGCGGGGGGTCCCACCCGCACGGGGGGTCCCTCTGTCGCCCGGGGGAAGCGAGGCCTTGGCCGAGGCCTGGCAGGGAAGCTGAGCCCGGGCCCCACCCCCTTTCCCCGCCTGCCCTGTAGGCCTCTGGGACCCGCCGGGCGAGGAGCAAGGCAGGAGGGCGGCTGTGGGGGACTGGGGTCTGGAGAGGGCGGTCGCCTTGGGGCTTCCTTTCATTCAAGAAACGGTTGTTGTTCCATCTTCATCGTTGTGCCAAAATGGGATCCGATGGCTTCTTTCTTTCTTTCTTTCTTTCTTTCTTTCTTTCTTTCTTTCTTTCTTTCGTCTCTCTTTCTCCCCCCCACGCCCCCCAAAATATCAAGAGCCAGAAAAGTGGCCACAGGAACGATGTTAAGCGGTGGCTCGCAAAGGTTTAAGAGGGCGTGACATAAACCCCCAAAACACAATATCCTTTATAATTCAGAATATTATTGGCCATGAATCCAGAATTTTAAGCCTCTTTATTTCAGCTACTTGCTGGGAAGCACCGTGGCAGAGATTGGTTGGGAGGCCACGAAGCGATGTGTTCTTCTGTGATCATGGTCCCAGGGCTTCGCAGTGTTTCCACAGCCCCTGTTTTGAATGCTGCCATTTTGTTCCAGAATGTTATGAAGCTGTACAGCATAATGGGTGTTGCTTTTACTTGGGGGTGTTCCAGCCTTGCTGCTCCAGATTATTTTCCTGATTTCGCCTGGCAAGTCCAGGAATGATGTGAAAGAGTTGCGAAAGGCAGATGGGGAAAATGCTACCATATTCCTTTCCTGGCTTTGTGGGCAGTGAAAAGGATGTGGGCCTTTCCTGGACTCTCAGGGCTGTTTTCCACATTTCTGTTGCTTAAAAACAGGTGTACAAACCCATATTTTAAGGCCTATGAGGTATGAAGTTACTTGGCTGCAATTGGAGAGGGACGAATTTGGAATCTTGACTACTGGGAATTCTGAAGCTATCCAATTCGGTATTCCGCTTGTTAAACGGACTCTTGCATACGTCTGTATTTCTTAGGCATCTCACCTTGCAAGGCTTCTCTATCTCCAGCCTTCATCCTGTTGATACATTGCATCCTTTAGAAAGACATTCAGTTTGGAATGTACTGTATGTTGAGATTGGCAAATATGGCAACAGCTAGTTTAACTTTTTGTGGACTTGCATGAAATCATGTCAATGGAGTAATTAATCCTAGTAACCAGTCCCCCACCACTCTTCTTGGCAATATGAAAATTCCAGGCAAGAAACAAATTCAGACCTCTCCTTCCAGCTCTTGTCATCACTTTGCATGTCACATATCCAATATCTAATATATGAGTTTACTGAGAGAGAATTGAGGCCTAGTGTAAGCTGTTTGCTGAAGTGCACAGAGTGCAGTAGAAGTGACATACTCAGGCCCTAGATACTTAAGGTCTTGGGCAGGGGTTGGCAAGGTTTACTGGCCATGGGCCAGATCACTCCCACGGAGATTGTCCGTGGGCCGGACTGGCGCAGCACGATGCTGGAAATCTCATCTGCGCATGTCCACGGTGCTTGAAATCGCTTCTGCACATGCCCAGACGCCGGAAATCGTGCCTGCGCAGAAACAATTTTTGGGCGTCTGGTCATGCGCAGATGCGATTTGCGGTATCTGTGCATGCGCAGACATGATTTCTGGCGCCGCTCGGCGAGTCGATGCACTAGTTTAGCACAGCGAGGTGGGGGGCTCACCGAGTGGGCAGCTTGGTTCAGGGGTGGCTCATGGGCCGGTAAAAGTGTCTTCGTGGGCCGCATCCAGCCCATGGTCCACACGTTGCCAACCCCTGGTCTTGGGGCTCTTATCCAAGGGCAACTGAATAAATCTCATCAAGGGGTCAGCTAAAACAATCTTGCATGTTATCAAATAGGTTTAACAAACTTGCAAAACAAGCTGTCTGATAAGGATATTGGATAACATGCAAGATTGTTTTAGCTCATCCTCTTGATGAGATTTATTCAGCTGCCCTTTGAAAGTCTTTGCAACTCAAACCTTTGTGTTGTTTCTAGCATACCTTGAGTTATCTTCTTTCATTGTCTTGTATTCTAATTTGTCTGGCATGTTTTGGGTGACTAGGGATAATATGTGTGGGGGGTTTTTTGTTTTGTTTGCATTTTGGTGGAATCTGTAACATAATCTGTAAACCATGGGTAGGCAAACTAAGACCCGGGGGGCCAGATCCCGCCCAATTGCCTTTTAAATCCGGCCCGCAGACAGTCTGGGAATCAGCGTGTTTTTACATGAATAGAATGTGTCCTTTTATTTGTGGGGCATAGGAATTTGTTCACCCCCCCAAAAAAAAAATATATAGTCTGCCACCCCACAAGGTCTTAGGGACAGTGGACGGGCACCCTGCTGTAAGTAAACAGGAGCCCTTAATATATTCAGTGTGATTAATATGTCTTAAGCACAAGTGCAACTTGTCAGCCAAAATTCATGCATCTGTTATATGCTTTGTACTATAGCTATATTTATAGCATAGGTTTTCTTATCCTAGTAAGACACGTTTTAGTAAGATGTATCTGTACCACATCTGTAGAAAAGACATGTATTTGTACTATGAGAAAACCTGCTGATAGAAAAAGGATTATAAGGCAGCCTTGGTCTTGAAATGGCCTTAACCACTCCGCTAGTATCATTGTTTGTTTGTTTGTTTGTTTGTTTGTTTGTTTAGATTTATATACCACCCTTCATCAAAAGATTTTGGATGGGTTCACAAGATCCCATTGTGTATGGGATCTAATATAATAATGAAGTGGCATCCTGGTGCATTTCGTTGCCTCTTTGGTAGATTTAGTCCTGGAATTTTACTGCTGACCCTTAAATAAAAGTCTTGTTTGAATGTGGTACAGATATCCCAAGTCCTCTTTGCATGTCAAAGAGGTGGAAATGTAAATTTCATACTGAGTAGCTAGTTTGACTAAAATGTTCATAACCATTTTCTGTGATGCAGAACAACTCTGGTAATTAACCTTTTTGTGTCTCCTCATTTACAACTGAAGGAAGCAAATGTACGTGTAACTGCACTTTCTTGTAACCATGCACTGTGACCCTTGCCCCTCTGGGTTGTATCTTCCTAAAGGTAAAGGTACCCCTGCCCGTACGGGCCAGTCTTGACAGACTCTAGGGTTGTGCGCTCATCTCACTCTATAGGCCGGGAGCCAGCGCTGTCCGCAGACACTTCCGGGTCACGTGGCCAGCGTGACAAGCTGCATCTGGTGAGCCAGCGCAGCACACGAAACGCCGTTTACCTTCCCGCCAGTAAGCGGTCCCTATTTATCTACTTGCACCCGGGGGTGCTTTCGAACTGCTAGGTTGGCAGGCGCTGGGACCGAACGACAGGAGCGCACCCCGCCGCGGGGATTCGAACCGCCGACCATGCGATCGGCAAGTCCTAGGCGCTGAGGTTTTACCTACAGCGCCACCCGCGTCCCTTGTATCTTCCTACTGCCCATCTAAAAATTTAGGCAGGGACCTATCTCAATTGCCATGTATAACACGATGGTACCATGTATATCGATGCTACACAACAATAATTTTGCTTGCATATTATCATCAGCTATTTAAATAAGGTATGAGCCATTTCCTTAATGGCAATTACTTCCTCCCAGAGGTTGCAAGATTATCCTGTGGACTTGGCTTGATTACCTTAATAACTGCTGTGGATGAAGGAAATGCCATTCCTGATATGGTAGTTTCTACATATGTTGTGGCATGTTCCTGTCATCTTTGCTTCTAGATTGTGTATGACCTCTTCTAGCTGAAATCTTGGCACACAAGGAGCAAAGTGGGTGTACGGTAGCATTTCCAGTTAAACCATTTCACCTATTTTGAATGAAATAAATGTAATCTTGTGGTATTTCAGGGTTTTCTTGCAGAAGATCAAAGAAAGCAAGTACTTGAAATCAGTCCATCGCTGCTAGTATATCTCTTAAGTATATCTACTCTTGTTTAGAGCTCCAGGATCAGCAGTTGCTAATGGTCTCCCATATGCTTCATCATAGAAAACTGGTGGGAGAACCTATATCTAAGATATTCCATGGTTGCATATGCTGACCGGGCTCGACTCTGCTAGCCTGAGGCAGAACCAAAAAATGGAAATTTTCAGCCCATAGTTGCTGAAGGTAGGACCTTCTTGTAATGGAAAGATTTAAGGAGTAAAACTACAGATCTGCCTTTAATTTACTTGTTTACGTAATAGGTGCAAAAAAGCAATAGACAAAGTACATTTACTGTTACCTCCTTGGAGTAAAAATGCACGCATCAGAAGAAAACAAGCACTTTATATACACATAAAACCCATCAGTTGTCTCCCATTTGTTAAATGGGATGAGTATATAGTTTTCACAGAGGCTTAAGTTTCAATTTTCCATCGTGTCAGCTATGTCTTGAAGTTAATAAGCTGGTGTAGGTTTTCCAAAGAAAGTACTGTGAAGAAGCCATTTTAATGGATGTGCTCCTTCTGTCACTTTGAAAGACGGTAGTGAAAGGAAATGTTGGTGATCCAACTTTGAACCCTAATCCTTAGTATATGTGGCATACTTTCTGGAATTATCACAATTACATTAGTGTTGTGGCAGTGTTACATGTTGTGGTATTTTCCAGACATACTGTTGGAAAGTTCCCCCCACCCTCATAAAAGCATTACCACTGTTGAATCTTGAATGAACAAACTTTGATTCTTGTAGAAGACTGTCTTTTCTTGAAATGTGCAGTGCTTGTAGCCCTGATTTGTGGATAAGATATAGTTTTCAAACACAGGCACGAATGAGAGCCAATATAGTTGTGCTGGGGTATGCACATTTTAGCATGATTTCGTCACCAACTAGTTTCACTTGCCATGCCAGCACTATTCCTCCCCAAGTGCTCTGTTATGAGGACTTAGGGGGTGAGAAGGATCTTTGTATCTTAGTTTAGCCATTGGAACTTATAAATATTCTCACAGCTTTGTCCTTTCTCCAAACGTTGAGAGATGAAGGGCTCCTCCCAATATTTCTGCATCAGAATTTAGGGAACTAGGATCTCAGTATTAACTTGTAAGGGGAGATGTGATTACTAGACGAGGGGGGTGGTTGCCCTTTGTAGTCACTCCTAATGATTGGCTTTATGGACCTTTTAGGTTGACAACTTACTTAAAATGCAAGTTACAAGTTCAACACTTAACAAAGCTGAGTTCTGCACAAGTCTTTCTCCATAGTTTTGTCTTATTTTATCAGTTCACATCTACATTGAATTGGATGTGCTTCAGCTGTGTAGTAAGGTTGTTATGGACTGTTAATATGTGACCCACACCTAAAACATATTCAACCAAATATTGAAGTAAAAATAGTTGAACAGTTTATCTAGTAGTCAAAATTAGTTGAAATGAAATATTTGTTTTGGAGGTTAAATATGTAATAAGGTGCACAGTTTAATTGGAATGTGAGATGCAAAGCTTTCTAGTTGGAATCTTTTATGTATCTTTAGATGTGACAATTCAATGACGTATGGTTCCTTAAGTTATTTATATTGTAAGGGGAAAAAATGAATGTACTGTATGCAGGTGGGGGGAGGGAAAGGAGTATGAATGTCCAGTCACTGCTTTTGAACTGTGCCACTGTTCTCTACCAATATACAAATGTGATTCAAGTAATATACATCTGTATATTGGTAGAGAACACCTTGCTGTATTTTTATGAAATGCAATCAAAAATACATGAATATGGTTCCAAGCTAACTAATGTATTTGCCTGATACCCATTGAACACATGTTTGGGACACCAGATCTGAGCCTAACCTGGTCCCTAGGCTTGCTATGAGGCTTTCCTGTGGAGGTGGGGGCGGGGGGACAGGACTTGATTTTGGACAATCTTTCACTTATTCACACAGTATCAGATTCCTCTCCACAGAATACCCCAACACTCAAGGGGGTCTGCATGCACAGAAGTCTTTGCCCCTTTGCATCCTTTCATTATGTTGAAGCTTTTTCCTGACATATTCATTATACCTATGAAAATATGAATAACTTTATAATTCAAAGCAATCTAAGCTACCTGTCAGCTCAGCTCTCCTTTAACCATTATGTCATCCTGATACCCAGTATGTGTACAGTACATGATTTATTAACTATATTAAGCTGGGGGCACAGATATAAAGCATGAATCGCTGCACAGATTATGAGAGATTTAATCTTACATCATAGAGGTGATGGTGTGGCCTTCCAGTTGGTTACTGAGGCATTTGTGTATAACTAGATACATGTGTATTATTTATTTCTATTATTTACTAAATTTGTATAGCACCCCTTCATCCATAGATCTCAGGGTGATCCACAACATAAAAATACGATATAAAAACACACAAAATACATAATAAAAACAAGAACAAAAACAAACCAATAGCCAACCCACCCCGGTTCACAGTAATACCATGATGAGATTGCAGCTGCATGCCAATCCCAGGTTGTTTACATGAAGGAAGGTATAATTTGAAGCATCCAAGTGGTGAATAACAGCTGTTTAAAATAATTATTAGGAAGTTGTATGCAACGTTGCTTCCTAGTCTTTTCTTAAGTGTTTCGTAAAATATTTTGGAATTCAAATTTTGCTTTTGAAAGAGCATAGTGAGCGAGAGGGTAAAATCTATTAGCACCCATTTTATTTTGATTTATGGCATGCTGCTAATTTTCAGTTATCTACAAACGAGCTTTTTGGGTGTGTACAAGGAAGTGCAAGAATCAAGCATGTCAATGCCTTTCATTCCAAGTTCTAACAACAACAACCACCTGATAGTAGCTTTTTGAGCATTCAGTCTAATTACCTTTTGACCACTTGGCTTACAGAGGATAACATTTTACTTGAGTACAGTGATACCTTGGGTTAAGAAATTAGTTCGTTCTGGAGGTCTGTTCTTAACCTGAAACTGTTCTTAACCTGAAGCACCACTTTCGCTAATGGGGCCTCCCGCTGCCGCCGTGCTGCCGGAGCACGATTTCTATTCTCATCCTGAAGCAAAGTTCTTAACCCGAGGTACTATTTCTGGGTTAGCGGAGTCTCTAACCTGAAGCGTATGTAACCTGAGGTACCACTGTATTTTGGCATTGTCTGGGTCAACTTTTCAAGTAACCTACCCTGGTGTCCTTGAAGGGTGAACAAAATGATGCTGTACCTATTGTGAGGAACAGGTTAAGGGAGTACAAGCAAAAAAAATTGGGTAATAGCTGAGAGTTGGGAATATATTTAAAATGGTGACTTTAATACAAGCTGAAAGTCTCCTAGAATCTAATGTCTTTTTGTAACATAAAAATAGGCTTTCCCTGCCAATATACTACAGAGTGGTAGCTTTCCATTTGGTGCAACACTGAATTGGTTACTAGTTGTGAACTGAACAGAGAACATCAGTCAGTTATTTAGAAGAGATTATACAGCTTTCCAGTGTCGGTTACATCAGCATAGTTTAGAAGGTTCAGGAAATGGTGGTTAGAGTAAATTCAATCTTGGATGGTAAACAGTTTGTCTTATTAGTAATCTGATATTGTAGTTTGTCTGCTGAGCCAGAAAAACAAGCAAAATTTTCCATTAGGGTAGTGAAGGCCCTTCATGGGACCTGGAAGAGAGGGGAGGGAAAGGAGGAATGCCTTTTCTCCCTAGATCTCTTCGCTGCAGCAGAATCAATGTTTGTGTGGCTTCTCCAATATGAGCTTGAAAGGGAAGTAGGATAGCAAAGGATAGGTTACTGTGCAGAGTAAACAAGGGAGAAAACCTGAAGTGTTGTAATCTAGTCATATGAGTAACTTCCTTAACGAAGTCAAACTAAATATGCCAGGTATATATTTTCAACAAAACAGCTTCAAAAACATTGTAGGCAAGGCTCTTGAGCTACTTTTGAAAATATCTTTTGCATTGGCGTGGTAATTGTAATCCAATTTTCTGTTCTGAATAATGAGTAATCCTTTCTGTGGGTAGTTGGGAGATGGGGCAATAGAATATCTCTTTTGCTCCATAGGGCTGTTTCCTTTCCAATTCAACAAACTTGATGCAATCCTCAAATGGGTTTGAGGGAAATATTTCATACCTTTTTTTTCTATATGACTGAAGAGCCAAACTGTATTTTTATACCCAAACAGAAAACGAAGTTGCTAGTTGGTTTCTGCTATTTCTGTTTATTAAGTTTGCACAATTAGGTTTCTCTCTTCCCCTCATTGCAATGTTTCCACAATTAGCCGGACTCTGGGCTTGATGAACACTCGTCCATTATTCTCACCCGTCTCTTTTTTTGGTGTGTTTTTAGTGGGGGACTTTGAAAAAATCTGGCGTGAACATTGTGAAGATGAAGAAACACTCTGTGAATACGCTGAGGCAATGAAAAATCTGGCAGATAACCATTGGACTAAAACCTGTGAAGGAGAGGGCCGCATTGAATGGTGTTGCAGGTAAGTGGTCTAATGCAAACGATTGAGAAAGTTGTTTTTGGTCATAAGCTTGCAGGATTTCTACAGGAGAACAGATTGCAAAAATACATTTCCACAGAATATATGTTTCTGTATATAATTGCTTTCAGGGTTCTGTTTTTGTTTTCTTTATATTTGTAGCAGTCTTTGTATTTAACAAATAATGAATGGAAAACGTCTTTCTATCAAATGTATACAAATGGAGACCTTCTTTCCCAAACCCAAGGTTTCATGATGTTTTCTGCTGCCAAGCTTTGTTTTCAAACCACATGCCTAGTACTAAATTGATAGATTAAGACTGCATCACTAGACAGGTGGAGATTAAAAGGGATTTTAGTTGTTCGTTCCAGTTTCTAGAATAGATTTACCCAATATTACTGGAATGTGAAGACCCACCTGTAGTGTAGAAATGGCAGTTCCTTGGACTCTACCCATGTAGTCAAATGAAAGCACTTTGTTTTCAGATTAACAGTTTTAGTTGCTTGTTCTGGTTGAAATGGGGTGTGGGATACAGCTGAAGGGAAGCCCTGTAGATATATAAACACCAGCTTGGTGTGGAAAACACTTCTAATAAGACAAAAGATTCAGAAGAAGAAAGAAGGAAAGAAACTTAATTGCTTGTGATCCTGAATAAACTGCATGGTCTTGAACAGATAGTTCGGGATACTATATCACATTACTTTAATTAACATTTGGTGCAAACCCATTTGTTTAATTTTATGTGTACAATCACTTCAAATCATTCTACCTAGATAAGGAATAATTATATTCTGTTCTTTGAAATATATAGATAAGAAAGTGCCTTTAGAAAATGATAGTGAAAACTATTTTGAATTGCCCTTCCCCCTCTTTTTTTTTCTCCCCAAGTGTGTCACGGGAATATTTTCAAAATGGTGGAAAACGAAAAGCACTGGAAAAAGATGAGAAAAGAGCAGTTCTTGCTACTCAAAGTATTCAAACCATGAGTATTCACCCAGCTTCCAAAATAGAGGATTCTTCTGAAAAGTCAAATCACAGTTCTATAATGGATGAGTAAGTGCTATCAGAGGGCAGATGTGGTGGTGGTGGAAGTTCATTTGTGTGTGTTTTGTGAATTTAGCATGCTAGACTAAGTAGGCATTTTAGAGTCCTATTTATTTTACTGAAGGGGGTTATGTATGTGATCTAATGTTTCTGTTAAGATCAGTGGGACTTAACAGAAGCTTACATTTGGCCTAATCATGCCAAACAAGAACTGTATTGCCGAAGAACACCAGAGGAACCCTGAAGTGTCTTGTCTAAACAATAGAAACTTAATTTCTTTACCAAAAAAACTGTAAGAGATGTGCAATTACTAAACTTATTGTGTGTTATAAGCAAAGTTCAGCAGAAGCAGGAAACCTCTGTTTCCCCAAGAGACAGCAGGACCTATTTATCTTTCACTAAATAAATTTATTATTATGTTGCTTTTTGGACCCATATGAAGTCTCCTTCCCTCCCTTCAGAAATGGGTTCAGAACAAGGACCTCCTTTCCTCTCTCAGTAGCTGAAGTACATTGAAGTACAGTTTGGAGGGGACTAGGAAGAGGGTTAGGAATTGCATATGTGGGGAGTTGTAGGCTTATGGAGACAGACAAGGTTTCTTGGGAAATGCCTTGGCTTATTTCCAACCAAGTATGACCAGGACATGTCACCATTCGCCAGTTATATAACTGCAGCTGTATGTTTCCTGTTCTAAAAGATTGCAATGGAATTTCTAAAAGATTCAGATTTTATTTCTTTAAAGGTTATTTCACAATTTGAATCCCTTTCTATTTAGATTGCTACATCCTTCAGGAAAGATCAGATTACTTGATGTTGGCAGCTGTTTTAATCCATTTTTGAAGTTTGAAGAATTTTTGACGGTTGGCATTGACATTGTCCCAGCTGTTGAGGTATGAAACATTTGTCAGTACAGATAATCAGGAGAAGATTATTAAATCCTTAACATGCAAAAAATTATTCAGTTGGATACTAGCAGCATGCACTTGGCTTGTATCCAGCTAAGCCACACTCAAAGCAGACCCATTGACTAAAGTCCATTGATTTCAGTGGCTCTAATCGTGACTTTCGTCAGATACAGTCATATATGTTTGGGTTTGTTTAAGCACTCTATCCACAAATCAATGTGTCATAAAAAGTAAAACTTTTAATGGAACAGTGCAATCCATTAAAGGTAGCAGTTTGGTCATTGGATTTTTCACTAAGAACATGATCTATCCAAAGTTGAGCACTGCTGAACCCCTTGATTACATGCTGTAAAATTCAGGTAAAAATCAGTGGGGGAAATGTCAAAACATATTTTACCTCCTGAATTGTTTTAAAACCAACGTTTTGTATGAAAGACAGCTGCCAGGGTGTTCTTTATTTTTATGTGTATTTATTCATGCATTTAATAATCACTATGATTTTGCAATATTCCTTTAAATTCCATAGTTCAGTGTTACATCAAAAGTATAATTCCATTCCTTTGTGCTTCAGAATTAGGACTGCAGTGGTTAAACTACTTAATTGGGGGGGGGGAGCGCCTCGGATTATCCAACAGATTTCTTGTTAAAAATAATTAGTAATATTTAGTATTGGTGCAAATGCCTAGAAAAACAGCAGATGGCAAGCGCCATCTTATGTCATTTCCACTTTCTCTCTTCCATAGAATGGAATGTCTCTTATAAAATGATACCCTCTATGGAACAAGTACATTGTCTAAGAACAAACAATGCCATTTGCTTAATTATTTTTTTAAAAAAATGCTTTACACATATGCCTGTTTAATTTATCAGTTAATTGACTTCTGTAATGCCCTATACAGGGGGTTGCCCTTGCACGATACAGAAATTGTGATTAGGGCAGAATACTACTGCTAGAGTGCTATCACTTTTGGCATGTGGTCTCATAAGACTTCTGTCTTGGAGGATGGGCAGTGGCTGCCTATATGTTACTGGGCCCAATTTAAGGTGCTCTTGTTGACATAGAAAGCCATGAACAACTTGGAAGCAAGGTATCTGATAGAACACTTCTGCTGATACCAACCTACCACGGCCTTGATATCAGTGGAGGAGGTTCTGCTTGTTGTGTCTCCCCTTTGGTGAGTGTTGCTTAACTGCCGTCCAACTCAGTGGGCTTTGTGATGTTTGGCTGCTACGGAATTGTTTATTATATCTATTTCAATTTCTTACATTCTGTTTTTGTTTTGGAAAATGCTTTGCAATTCTTTTTCTTGATGGAAAATGCTGTGCAAATGTTTAGATTAAAATACTGAAGCTCAAAAGATTTATCTGTTCATGGTGTAGCCATGCTTCAAATGCATAGTTTTAATGTACCTGGTTTGCACCATCCAAGTATATTGCTGCATCTGTTTCTTTTCGCAGAGTGTCTATAAATGCGACTTCTTGAACCTTCAGATTCAGCAACCTCTTCAGCTTGCACAAGATGCCATAGATGCTTTTTTGAAACAGCTAAAAAATCCTATTGATTCCCTGCCTGGAGAATTGTTCCACATTGTGGTTTTCTCCCTCCTCCTATCTTACTTCCCTTCCCCTTATCAACGATGGATATGTTGCAAAAAGGCCCACGAACTTCTTGTATTAAACGGATTGCTACTTATTATCACTCCTGACTCTTCCCATCAGAATCGCCATGCTATGATGATGAAAAGCTGGAAAATTGCTATAGAATCCTTGGGCTTTAAACGTTTCAAGTACTCAAAATTTTCTCATATGCACCTGATGGCATTTAGGAAGATCTCACTTAAAACAACAAGTGACTTGGTGAGTAGGAACTACCCAGGGATGTTATACATCCCCCAGGATTTCAATAGTATAGAAGAAGAGGAATTTTCTAATAACTCCTGCTACATCCGATCTGATGCAGAAGATGAACAACTGGCATACAGCTTCATGGAGCTTCCAGATGCTCCTTATGACTCTGATTCTGGGGAAAGCCAGACCAGCTCTATTCCTTTTTATGAGCTAGAAGATCCTATATTGCTTCTAAGTTAATGTAACAATTAAAATATGCTATGAAGTTCAAACTCCCTTGACTGTAAAACTAATTTTGCTATACTGACATCTGCTCTGCACATGAAAGCATTTACAAAAAGGAAATTCGAAAGGTTTTTGGGAGCCATCACTTTTTTCTACTTACGAATTTTAGAATTTATTCTTGTATTGAAAAGTTGAAGTGCATGTTTTATGCAGAATGGCTCATGTCCATAGCATAAACAGGGTTTACTTTAATATTTGTATCGGTAAAATACTCCGGAAAGGTACAATTTCCCCTCCGCCCTCCAGTGCTGTGAACTGTGATTTTGCAAATATGCTAATGTTTCTTGGTGTGATATTTTTAAATCTCAAGATAGGATTTTTGAGGTTCATGCTAGCATTTCTTAAGAGGTTTGGCGCAGAACGTTTATAGTATGCACTGTTAGTGTTTGACTTGAACAAAAAACGGACCTAGAACAAAGTTTGGGTTGAGTCAATCTTGATAGGGTAAAATGAAAATCTCTGCAGATTGATTTTACTTGTCTTTAATACTGCAATTAGAACATTTCAGCAAGAGATTAGATTCTCTTGCCCCTGATGCTGTTGGAATGATATATAACGCACACATATATAATGGTAGATTTAAAATATGGGATTATTGTTTTTGGTTTTTTTGTTAACTTCCAAGGTACAATATCCTTGCCATTTTTTAATTACACTAACATCATTGCCCACACTACAGTTTTTCATTGTATTTTGTGTTACAAAGTATTTTGCATTGAAGTAGTTCAGTACAAAGCTGCATAACAGTCCCTTCCAGAAGTCTCTGATGCATGAAATCAGCAAAGTATTGAATTGAGCCTCATTATAATCCTACATATTTTTATTAATGTAATTTGTAAGTTTTTTCCCACAGCTATGAATGAAAACAAATAAAGGCACTCTAGTGTTTTGGAGGGCTGGATAACTAATCTGCATAATAAATCTTTTTTAAAAATTCTGAAGTTCACAAGCTAAGAAACTGATTTCTTTGGTGTCAGATAGAAAAATGAAGTCTAACTTGTTTTCACAAATCTAATCCTGGGTGGAACTGTTTCCTTTTAAACAAAATCTGTTTTATTAACTGCACCAACATTTTTTTAAACTGCACCAGAATTTTTGGACTCCTATATCTAGCTTCCATATCAGATTAAAGGCATTTGTATTCACATGTCTGAATGTGGGTTCAAGCTGATACAAGTTGAAATATATAAACCAACAGCCAAAAGACCCAGTAGTTTCATAAAATAAAAATCAATAAAATATATTTAAAAATAAATAAAATGGCAGTTTTAATAAATGTTGGCCTGGTGTTAAGCAATCAGCTGCCATTTTAGGAGTGCCACTACACAGCCTGAAAGGGATTTCTGTGTGTTTAAAAATGTGTGCAAGTTTTACACCCCCACCAAAATGTCACACTAATGTTTCACAAAACTGACATCTCGACTTGCTTTTTGCATACTGTTATGTAGTTTTTATACACAACTTTCATACAGTGTGGTGTTGCTTTGTAAACATGTTTTTGTTTTTTTTACCTCTTGCATGTAAAATTAAAAAAAAACACCTATGAATGTTCAGATTTGACTGCAAGTAACCATAGGGAATTTATGTTTAAAAGAAAACCTGATACCTTCTGAAAAGGGCATTGTGATCCCTCTGAAGGCTTTGTGGCACAGCCTCAGGCCCAGATTTGGCCGGCCACTCACTTAATCCCACAGGCAAAAGTAGGGTGTGGATGGGCTGCATCTGTGACAACAGGGTGATTGCCTGTCATCCTGCTTGTCATAACTGCTATCTTGTAGAGTGGCAGTTGGCACTCAGAAGCATCACACCCCAGTTAGTTTGATTATCCATTGAACCAAGAATAGTTGCTGCATAGGCAGGTAGAGGTTTCCTACATCTAATGCAAAATGTTCCTTTTCATTTATTTAAAAGCTTCCTAGGGTGTTTTTGTGTGTGTTGGGAGTAGGTAAAGCTGCCATGCTGGTGCTACCTTCTCTCTCATTCCAAATATATACTTCTCAAATGTGCAAGTTGTGCAGTTTAATATTAGCAGAAGGTCCCTAGGACTTCCTAAGCATAGGTGCATTTCTGTTATATAGTGCATGTTAATGTTTTCTCATTCATTCAGATCCTGAAATTCAAGTCATGATGTATGTAAGTGAAATGGTTTAAAACTTTTAATGGTAGAAGTTGGCCAGTAATATCTGATGGCTTGGTGAAATGTGTTGTGGATCCTTCAGTAGAGGAATCACTTTATTATTTTCCCAATTGCCCTAATGTGAACAAATCTTTTGGAGCAATTAACCACCCCCAAGTAATATTTGCAGGCACATTTTATTTTAAATGGACTTGTTACTGGAATCTCACTAGAAAGATTCACAGAGAAAGCTGTGTAAATCTGGGGAGTTTTAGGGTTAACAATAATAAAGGAATCCAGGTCAACGCAAGGAAGAATGTGTAGCACAAAAAAATTGCATTTGTGTTTTCATTTCATTTAAGTTTTTTTGTGAACACATTAAAAGAAGGTACGCAAACAGCTTTTGAGTATTGCTTGGTGTGTGCTATATTGCCCAGTTTGCTCTTGGCTATGTATGAGGACACTACTGCAATGATTAACTTGTTGCAAAGTATACAGTGTGAGTGCAGCATTTTATCACAAACCATAATAATTCGTATATTTATACCAGATTTTATACATAATCTTCAGAAATGTTTTAGAGGTATTCAGAACTGGGGAAAAGGGCCTACCTCATCAATCCAATAATGCCTTGCTCTGGTCCCACCAATTTATTTTTAATATACCTGATTTAAATAATGTTTAAACATCAACTGTAGGAAACTTTATAATTTTTAGTTTAGAATGTAAAATAACATGTAACAATCATTACACACTCACTTAGAGATTAAGGCTTATCCACTTGTAATATATTTTGGTTCATATATAGCAGATAAAAATATTTAGCACTCTTTGTGCATTCATTTATTTCCAAAAAAAAGTAGTAGAACATATGAATTCATCACTGACACTTACCACTGAGTTTGCGTTCCTATTTACAATGAATTGTTTAGAATGAAATATTTTGAGAATTGTTTTAACTTGCCACTTTCACAATCTTAATCATTCCCCCTTTTTAAAGCTTGCAGTTACTAGCCTGTAACTTGTGCAACTTAAATAACAACAACAGATATCAAACAACAAAGCAACTTCTGGCACCAATTTTACTAAAGCCCTTTGGTCTTTCATGCACCAAATTGAGGCCGCTACCACTTTGCAAAGGTATAGAATTAAACAGAGGTGTTCTTCAGATATCTCACCTATAAATACTGTTCGCACCCAATGTAAATAAATCATCTTTTCCAAAATTAGTTGAGTTTTTAAGCATTTATACTGCCTATGCCCAGCATTGGCCATTGTTATGACAGCAGCAAACTTGTTCTCAAGGGAGAGCTGTTAAGATAGAATGTGTGTACATGTGATAATACCGTTTTGGTTGGCTGGAAACATGCCATAGATTATTTCGTTTGGATTGTGTGAGAGGTGGCCTCTTTTCCACCAGGGTGTGCAGACCAAGTGGCCCAAGGCTCTTGGTGCTCAGTTAAGTTACATTCAAGCAATATCCACCCTGTGGCTTCAAAATGTCTTTGGGCCAACCTGCCCACCTATATAGCCTCTAGATCAGGCTTTCCCAGACTCGGGTCTCCAGCTGCTTCCGGGCTACAATTCTCACCATCCCTATACAGCAGGACCCAGTGGTCATGGATGATGGGAACTGTAGTACGAAATCAGCTGGAGACCCCAGTTTGGGAAACCCTTCTCCAGATGAACTGGGGTGTACCTGCCTTAAGAAGCCCTTCCCTTCCTTTGACGGCAACCACCTGAGCTTTGCAGCACCTCAGCAAGTTGGAAGCCACTCTGCCCATACCCAGAGGCCAACGACGTCTTACCGAAAGCCCCTTTTTGACCAGGCTGGGGACCGTGCTGGGGGAGCCACTCCGCCCGCTGCCAGCCCAGGACAACGCCGCCTCCCTTTGCAGCGGGAGACGCCTGTGAAAAAGCAAACACAGCCAGGGCGTGTCTCCCCCCATGCAATCTTCTCGAGGGCTTGTAAGCGACGTCTGGAAAAGGGGCCCACAGAGGCGAACTCCTCCTTGGCTGTGGGTGGGAAAGCGACGCCGCTCGGCTCAGAAGCTACTCCGGCGCCCGGGATTCCTTCTCTGTCAGCAGCCTTGCCCGCCCGAACGCCCTCCGGACGCGTCGCCTTTTTGAGCCCTCGCGCTCCCCGTACCCGCGGCAGGCAGGGGAGGAAGCGTCAAAATGGCGGCGGGAGGAGAACTTTTCGGAGTGAGCGGCGGCGGCTGGTGAGTTCAGCTGTGAAGGGGCAGCCGGGGAGGGGTGGGGGGCACCCGGTTGTAAATGGGGCTCGAGGAGGCGAGGCGGAGTAGGGTGTCATGGGCAAAGACTAGAGGTTTCGGCCTCCCCTCCCTCACACTTTGGTGGGGGGGGGCGTCCCCTCAGAAGTGAGCGGCGCCTTTGCCCAGCCTCGGCTACAAGTGGCGGTTGGGCAGGTGGGGGGGCGGTTCTTCTCTCTCCCCCCCCCCGGCCGTTTGCTGAAAGGAAGGCGCTCCTCTTGTCTGTCTGTCTATCTATCTATCTATCTATCCAGTCCGGGCCTTGTGATAGGTTTCTCCCCCCAAGGTCCGCCCCCCGCCCCACAAGCGGTTCCTGAACTAGCGCAGACAGGGAAGGGAAAGAAAGTTGGGTGAATAGGGAGGAACTCGCCTTGCTCCTCCGGGGCAGCCAGGGAGCCAATCAGACGCCGCGTAGACGCGCCCAGGTTGCCCTGCATCCCAGCGCACCTGGCGCGACGTCACTTTAAAAAAAAAAAAAACTCAGGAAGGAAGTATTCCCCTTTTCTTTTCAGGTTTGAAACGGGGGCTCTTCTCCAGGTCTTTTAGAACTCAGGAAGCAACAATAGCGAAGCTCCCTCTAGAAAATTTCCAAAAATGGAGCTGTCGAAGTCTTCGGAATTCTTTCTCAGGTTCGGTGTTCAACGAAGAAAGAGGAATGGGGGGGGGGAGCGTGTTTGGCATGATATCAAAACTCCAAGGCAGGCATAGGCAAACTTCGGCCCTCCAGATGTTTTGGACTACAGTTCCCATCATCCCTGACCACTGGTCCTGTTAGCGAGGGGTGATGGGAGTTGTAGGCGAAAACATCTTGAGAACCGAAGTTTGCCCCATGCCTGCCAAGGTGTGCACTTTTAACAGTAAAGGGGGAGTTACGCAGATTTACATTATTTACCTTTAAAAAAAAAATCTGCCGCCCAGTTGAGCTCTTGAGTGATCCATGCATTTAAAAATTCAAAGGCAAACAAAAGGAGGGGAAATCAATATAAATCTCACCACAAAGGTGAGTCTAGCATCTTCATGATACTGCTTTCACTGCATGCTGGAGATGCACCTCTTTGAAGTTAAGATATATTGTATGGTGGAACCACCTCTTTTGCTGAAAGCATATGCTTTCAGCAAAAGAGGTGTTTCCACCATACTGTATATCTTAACTTCAAAGAGTGTTCATTTGGAATGGTTTTACTTATTTTTATTGTGATGGTTTTGTTCATTTTTATAATAAATGTATATTGTATATTGTTGTAACTTGCCCTAGGATCATATGGTGAAATCTGATAAATAAAACAAACACATAAACCTAATAGCAGGAAGGGTTGTGTGTGTGTGTGTGTGTGTGTGTGTTGCACTCAACATTAAAATTAGGTGTAAAACATTAAAAGCCCATCAGACTGAAAGAGGCTTCAGTTTCTGGCAAAAGACACGTTGGTTCATTCAGACCAACTTGGCTGTTCAACTTTATATTCCTGTAATGTTTAAAACATGGAATTTTGTATATTCAGAATCTAAAGCAGGTGCCACTTGTGAGCACATATTTTTAAACAAGATTTGCATATGATCTGCACTACTGTTAATGTATCATACCGAAATTAGGATATTAAGTATTTGAATGCTGATAATAACTATATAGACATGCCTATTTGCTTTATCTGTAAACTTGTTTAAAATGTGTAACTTGAAGTTAATGTGGTTTTTTCTTTTTCTTTCAGTATGTCAGTAATCCCTGGCAGTTATTGATGAAGCAACGCTACAGGAGGCTGCTTTTGCTTCACGTTTATTGGAGGGAATTCAAACAGTTATTTCCTGTGAACTGGATGCAATCACTACGAGTCAGCTTACATGTGTAGATCATTGCGTTACTGTGTTAGCCACTGTCTCTATGCAGCAATGACAAGACTAGATGAGGCGAACCGAGAAGTGAACATGCACTCATCTGTCCGGTATCTGGGCTATTTAGCCAGAATTAATTTATTGGTTGCAATATGTATGGGCCTTTATGTCAGGTGGGAGCAGACAGCAGATGCATTAATACTTGTAATTTTTATCCTGGGACTTTTTGTTCTTGGAATTGCCAGTATACTTTATTACTATTTTTCAATGGAAGCAGCAAGTTTAAGTCTCTCTAATCTTTGGTTTGGATTTTTACTTGGCCTTCTCTGTTTTCTTGATAATGATTCTTTTAAAAATGATGTGAAAGAAGCGGCAACCAAATATTTGCTGCTGTCTTCCATAATCATAAGAATATTGTTTGCTTTCGTGCAGAGGATATGTGGCTGTATTCATCATCGACCAACTTTGCTGACAACAGTTGAATTTCTTGAGCTGGTTGGATTTGCAATTGCCAGCACAACCATGCTGGTTAAAAAATCCATGAGTATTATCTTGTTGGTGGTGGCTTTGGCAATGCTGATTATTGACTTACGGATGAAGTCTTTCCTGGCAATTCCAAATTTGGTAATCTTTGGAGTCCTTTCCTCTTGGTTATTTTTTCCATCCCTACTCATACCAACGAACCCATTCGCCTTGGGATGCTTTTTCAGCTGTCTAATAACGGATCCTCTTCTTGACATTTACTTCAGTGGACTTTCAGTTACAGAACGTTGGAAACCCTATTTGTATCGTGGTAGAGTATGCCGGAGATTTTCAGTCATTTTTGTTGGCCTTATCGAACTTATTTATTTCATTCTTTCAGCCCTGAAACTAGGCGATTTGGATGTCTGGTATTTTGTGATACCTGGCTTTTCCATTTTTGGAATTTTCTGGATGGTCTGCCACATCATATTTCTTATAACTCTCTGGGGATTTCATACAAAATTAAATGACTGCCACAAAATATATTATACACACAGGACAGAGAACAACAGCCTGGACAGAGTTATGGCATCAAAAGGAATGCGTCATTTTTGTTTAATTTCAGAGCAACTTGTATTTTTTAGCCTTCTTTCAACAGCGGTTTTGGGTACTGTATGTTGGCAGGTATGTTATAATGGTTTTACATCCTCTTCTGTTGCTCTTAGAATGGGGGGATTTTGTATCAAAATTCATGGCATGTAGCAAGTTACTGCATCTGATGTGTAGTAGAGTCCCTGAACATACCAAACAAGCAACTCAATCAGATGGGTGGCATATAAATAACACAATTACTATCATCATCATCATCATTATTTTGTTCCACAGTGGCTTAGATGAACTGCAAAATGTGGCCAGTTTACAGCAATGGAATGAAGACACCAGATGATGTTACTTTATGCTCAACATAAAATAAATAACAATTTGTATGATAGTTTGGAAGCTAGTTTTATTTTAGAGTACATACACAAGAGCCCTTCATTTCTCCATATAGAAATTAATTGCAGCCTTGGTGGGGGAAGTTAAATATGTTCATTCTTAACTATCCCACAATAAGTTTGCAATGCTACCTTTTTTGCTACCATGAATATTTCATTTTAGAACTGGAAAGGTAGCATGTAAGTTTTCTAATAAGCAACAATAAATCAATATATTTTGGTATTTTCAAGGCTGTTTTCATGTTGCCTCATGCAATACACAGTAATCTTGTTAGCACTACAGTTTATATACTGAACTATTTACAGTAGGGTTGCTGAGGAAAATTTGTGAATTACAGATTTTTCATTTATATGTGCTAATTGCTATAATATAGCTAATGATTGCATTTGTTTTTATTTTAGAAATTCAATGGAATCTTCATGAGTGTGTTTCTGATTGTCTTGCCACTAGAATCCATGGCTCATGGACTATTTCATGAACTGGGCAACTGTTTGGGAGGAACATGTGTTGGCTATGCAGTTGTGATTCCTACCAATTTCTGCAGGTATTATGCCTTACAAGTCAACAGTTAATGCAGGCATCTTATTAGGTGAAGTTATTAGACCAACTTCAGTCTCTCCCTCACCAACTAAATACAGTGGTACCTCGGGTTACATACACTTCAGGTTACATATGCTTCAGGTTACAGACTCCGCCAACCCAGAAATAGTACCTCGGGTTAAGAACTTTGCTTCAGGATGAGAACAGAAATCACACAACGGTGGCGCAGCGGGAGGCCCCATTAGCTAAAGTGGTGCTTCAGGTTAAGAACAGTTTCAGGTTAAGAACGGACCTCCAGAACGAATTAAGTACATAACCAGAGGTACCACTGTACTAAATACTAATTTGTTGACTTAAATTTGGATTAACTTCACACACACACACCCGTCTTTTGTCCTAATGGTACTCTGAAAAGTTAAATATATTGACTTAGCTCCTCAGGTGCCCTCTGTGAAAAGAAGGGATTTAAATCCACTGGAGGGTCCACTGGCGGAAGGAATTTTTTGCAAGTACCCCCATCATGTTCTGGAAGTTCACCCAACCCTCTGGAGCAAATTTTCAGAGTGCATAGGAGCAGATTTCCAGAGAACATAGGGTTCCTCATGCTTGCTGGCAGGAGTATAGTTAGGAGCCAAGCCACTATGTGTGTGGATGTAATGATTTGTCTGCCTTTCCTCCTTAACATTTGTTAATAAGAAAATACACTAAATATTATGAGAACAAAGAGAGAGGGGTTTTTGTAGGGCAGGGAGAAGAATAAATGGTGTAACGCCCCCGGGCAAATGACGAGGCCATGCTCTGTCCTGGAGACCCTGCTGAGGGACTTCAGTTCTGCATTTGTAGGGGAGACAGAAGGATAAAGCTGCATCCATCTGTGTGCGCTGTGCTGTGCAACCTCATCTTTGTGGAATGGGGGTTGCTGTTGGAGTGAACATGTGGAAGAAGAGGATGGGTAAAGCTCATCGTGGCTGTGGAGCACAGGGTGGGTGATCACCTCCCAAACTCTGTTTATAAGACCAGTTAAGCTAGTTAAGAATGTATCAGACAGCTAATTAAATTGGTAGGTGGTAATAGAGGATTATTTACCACCTAAACGAGAACTGTTTAAGTAGTACAGATCTTCTCAGTGATTTAGAGACCTGTTTTAAGACACTTGTAACTGAACATTCTAAATTAAACTAAGTAAGTCTGCACAGTGGTGAAGTGGTTCAAAGCTCAGCTGTGGGTAGTGAACAACGTAACACAGGAGTAACTTCCATTATTGCAACATAAGGACTACCTCCCTTAATGACAAAAGCTAATTTCTCCCTTTTTCTTCTTCTCTCCCCTCTGTTTCTTCTAGTCCTGATGGCCAAGCAACACTGCTTCCACCTGAGCATGTACAAGAGCTAAATTTGAGATCCACTGGCATGCTTAATGCCATCCAAAGGTTCTTTGCATATCATATGATAGAGACTTACGGCTGTGATTATTCAACAAGTGGAATTTCTTTTGACACCCTTCATTCTAAGTTAAAATCTTTTCTTGAACTTCGGACCCCTGATGGACCCAGACATGATACCTATGTGTTATATTACAGTGGCCATTCTCACAGCACTGGAGAATGGGCGCTTGCAGGTATTCTACGTTTGAAGCTTTTCATAATTCTGATTTCTTTGTCTTTAAGAATATTTAAGTCTTAAGATTAGATAACCTGATATTTATGACATTAATAATCCATTTGAATCATAACTACTATGAGTAGGTCAAAGGGAGAGGGAGTAGAAAAGGGTTTTAAAATCTCATTTGTGCATTTGATTTATAAAGTGTTAGAAATTTTCATATGCAATCTTAACTAATTATTACACCTTTTCAAAAGTTGCCGTGGAAGGTGCATATTCATTCAAAACACCACAATATTTTGAATTTTGCCCTTATTAGTTTCTTAGAAGAGTTTCCAGACTACAAAACCAGCACAAACAGCTTGGAGTGAGATGTTATTTGCTCTTCTTTCATGTTGTATTATTTCTGGGTTTTCCCCAATTTTATACTATTCCACCTTTGCAGATGCATTAATGGAAATGGGACTGCAGTAGTATAACTGAAGAATCTAAGCTAGTGTCTGTTATACAATAGTCAAAACTGGAAATTGCAAAGGAGTGCAAGATTATTGCCTCAATTTCAGTTAGTTGTAGCTGACTAAAAGCACTCCATGCTGCTGCTGCTATCTGAAGAGGCTTAACACAAAGTTGGGAGCAGTTATAAACAAAATGTCAAGAGAAAGTGGTAACGGAGGAACAGGAAGAAGTTCCTTGACAGTCATATGCGAAGCTTGTATTTAGGCACTTCACAAAATTTGCATTAAAGAAAATATGGCATAATCAGAAGGAGGAAAGGGGCACTAGTGACAGATTGATTGTGATCAGTTTACTTAGCTCTCACAGTGAAAACCATAGCATACAGCCTATCCCTGCTTTTTGAATACAACCAGAATTCAGAACTGAAGTGTGGCTGATATTGTGTGCCACTTTTATCAGTCCTTGATATCCTGTGCTAGGTAGAACATGCAGTCATTCATGACATGTATCCTGCAGGAGAGGGGAGGTAAGAGAATTTCAGCTCATGCCCAGTTCTTTGGATTCAAGACAGTGTATCGAGTCTCCTACCTCTGGAGAAGATTAAAAAAAATTGGTGAGAATGAAAATCTAAACATCCAGTTAGTATTCAAATATGAACAGGATCCTCTGAGGAATAACTCTGTGTAGCAGAGCAGCATAGACTTAGGACTCTAATGACATCTTTAAGGAAGGTTTACTGTATGGGGCTTGTCTAATGATGTTATTTCATTGTTGGAGGCTTGGTAGTTTAACAGTGGTGTGTAAAATAAACTGCTAAGTAGTCATAAATAAACCATGAGCAGGCAAAACAGCTTGGAAAGTTGAGTTCACTGACTGAACGCAGTGTCAAGGTTTGGGCAGTAAAGCTTTGTCTGTATTACTGGAACTGCCTGCTTAACTGCCACCTCTTCAAATGTGCATGTATTCTGCTTAGAATTACAGCATTTGTATGGAGCAAATAGAGAAAGCAGGAAGTAGCTATATTGTGTTAAGAGAAGTATGTGGACAGTTTATTTAAAGATTCTGATCACAGCACGTGATTTTAGGGGGGGGGGGACATGTGTGCTTTTCAAGTAGTGTTTCCTTACTTAGGCCCAGAAACTCTACTGAATATAATCAGCAGTGTTCTTTCTGGATTTTGAAACTATTATTGGAGAGACCCCAGAACATCTCTATTTTAGCAATATTACTCGATAGCATTCAGTCAGTTCCCGAAATGCACAAACAAAGGGAGATTTGCCATTTATTTTCTTCATTACAAATGAATTACTGGAATCCTTTTTTAAAAAATAATAATTTTTATTACATATTTTCTTGGTTTACAAAAGTACATGCATTGTTTCTTAAACAATGTGGTAGCACTTTGTGAATTAATGAAATAAGAAAATTATACTGGAAGCTGACCATTTTTCTAGACTAGCGCAACCGAGGAGTTCAGAGTTTTGTTTTGTTTTTCTTCTTTTATCACCGTTCCTAAAAGAACTGATGAAAGCCCTAGGGCAACATCTCTCCTAATTAAAAGTCAGCTGCTCCCACGAGTGGCACTTCTGCTACTTAAGAGTTAGGGTGGCTGCTCCAGTTACTTCTGGTTATATATCATGCTGCTGCTTTTAGGATCAAAATGGAAATTCCTAGCAAGAGCATGGAAACCTGGTCATGCCGAAGGCATCTTGCTCATTTTAGATGCATGGACTTTTAGTGAAGGGTCACAGTTTTTAGACATTTGCAAGGGATTAAAAAGCTAAGCGGGAAGGTAAACGGCGTTTCCGTGTGCTGTGCTGGCTCGCCAGATGCAGCTTTGTCACGCTGGCCACGTGACCCGGAAGTGTCTCCGGACAGCGCTGGCCCCCGGCCTCTTAAGTGAGATGGGCGCACAACCCTAGAGTCTGGCAAGACTGGCCCGTACGGGCAGGGGTACCTTTACCTTTACTAAGAAGCTAAGCAGAAGTGAGTTTTAAAGTGGTTCCTGAATGCCTTTACTAAGTTAGTGCCAAAAGCATGAATTTCTCCGCTATGATCAGAATTAACCATAGGTGCAAGGATTGGAGGGATATTTTCAGTTTCTGGGCCCAAACAGGTAATTATTCTTTTAATTATTATTTTTGTCACAGTTGATAGCTTGGGTCCTCTATTCACTAGCATTCACAACTTCAATCCAGTGTGCACAGCACCCTTTTCATATGCAATCAGTCTAGAAATTGATCTGCATAGGAGAACATTGTGGAAATGTGTTCCGCAAGTATTTTACATCCTAACCTGCTGTGTTAGAAGCTAAGCTGCCATGTGAATGTTTCATTTTCAGTAACAATTATATTTCTGGTTTCCCCGCAGGTGGTGATGCATTACGGCTCGACACACTTATAGAATGGTGGCGAGAAAAGAATGGCTCTTTTTGTTCACGGCTTATTATACTGTTGGACTGTGAGAACTCTCAGCCGTGGGTTAAAGAAGTAAGAAAAGTCAGCGACCAGTATGTTGCAGTTCAAGGCGCAGAACTGGCCAAAGTGGTAGACACAGAAGAGTCAGACCTCCCGCACCTTGGTGATTTTACTAGAGAATGGGTTGAATACAACTGTAATCCTGACAACGACATCAGCTGGTTTGAAAAAGGGCGTACTGTGAAAGCCATGTATGGCGTGTCAAAGCGGTGGAGTGACTACACATTGCACTTGCCAAGTGAAAGTGATGTTGCCAAACACTGGATGATATATTTCCCACGCATCACTTACCCACTGATTCATCTGGCAAACTGGTTCTGTGGTCTTAATATCTTTTGGGTTTGCAAAGCTTGCTTTAGGTGTTTGAAAAGATTTAAGATGAATTGGTTTCTTCCCACAGTTTTGGACACAGGACAAGGCTTCAAACTCGTCAGATCTTAATTTAAGAACCAAAGATGATAAGAACTGGGAACTCATAGAAAATATGACTGATTTTTATTTTTAACAGTTTACTGTTTGAAGAAACTTTGCTACTTTTGTAGCTGTATTCCCTTTGCTCATTGTCCCGAGCAACTAAAGTATTTGCAAAGGGTTTAGAAACCTCATTAGAAAACAAAAAGCAGCAAAAGTGTTAATTGTTACTGAGCTGAATCTGAATTCCATGAAAGTTATGAAACATGACCATGTCCTTGAGAGACTGGTTTGTCTGCACACTTGCACAAATTGATTTAAATTGGCACAGTTTCCATGCTTTTTACTGTTAAATTCCTGATGTGTTCTCAGCACACCACTTGGCACTCATATATAAAAGGAAGTAATTAGGATCATACGTTGCTTTGATAAATTTCAGGCTTCCAGAAATAACAATGAACTGAAATTAAAACAAAGCAAAGAACTATGTCAGGAAGCTAGTAGCAGTCCAGGAATGCTTAAGTGAATGTAAGTTTGATAGCCTTTTTTATTGGAATTCCATGTACTTAGAACAGCAGCCTTACAAGATGCATATATGGAAACAACTTTCATTGATGTCAGCAGTATTCTTCGATGGCAAGGCATGAGGTTGAACCCAAATCTTAGCCATCCATAAGCAGAAAGACTCCTTCCATCAGTGGAAGGCTTTTGATCCAGTTCAGAACCTGTTCTCTCCAATAGATCATGGTATTACAGTTTTAGAATTCCTTCCAATGCTCCGGCACAGGTTTTTTGAGGATGCAAAGGGCTACAGGAAAAGGAAGCTCAGCAAAAATATTCCCCACTTTCTACCAGTGGAACACCCCCTGTAGAACTCCACTTCTGCAGTAACAAAATCTGGATCCAAGCCATCATGTTTCATCTTGGATATCATAGTTAATATCTTCATCAGAGTTTGTAATGGCCTCACTTAAAAATGATACAAAGATAGGCAGGGCCTTGAATTCACTATTGTTGAATTCAACAAAGTTGGCTTGGTATCAGATCAGCTTTGTTGTCTTCACTTATATTAATCAGGTGGTAACGATCTCCTGAAATATATTTCTCTCCTCAGACTGAAGCACATTATCTTTCTTTATGTAAGGGAACACAAAAGGCTGTTTGTGGAAAAGAATATATGTTCTTGCCTCTTTGAGGCTTCAAAATCTGGCCTTAATCATTTTAAATTGCAAAACTGGAAGGGGTTGAAAAAGGTGCTCATATGAGAGAGATGATATGAGTACTGTAACTGCCTTTTGAATATTTCCAGCTGTTGGGTTTTGGCTCATTCTATTCATTTAAATAAAAGCTATCATCCACAAATATTTTTATCACTTCGCTAGAACTGCCAGATCTTAAAACTAAAATCCCTGTAAACTAGTATCACACCCCCACACGTTTACTTTCCATGTGGAAGTTCAAGTGTCAAGTTTCTCTGTCGTCTATCAAATTATATCAGAACTCTGCTTCATGAAAGAACACATACTGAGACACACGGTGCCTTGAAAGCACATTTGAAACACATGTTCCACTTCAAAGAATTATAGGCCGCCATAGTTTAGTCCTCACAGAGTTACAATTTCAAGCAACCATTAACAAACTACAGTGCCTAGAATCTTTGAGGGGGGAAATGTGCTTCAAATGTGCTTTAAAGGTATAGCATATATGCAGCCCGAGGCAAGGATGGTAGTGGGTATGTATAAACGTGACTACACATCCAAATTCTTACATTAACTTTTTTAAGGGAAAGTTATATTATTTTTAGCTACCTGTCAAGCACTGCAAAACAAGTATTCACTATTTAATGCATTAAGAGCAATTCACATATCCAGGCAATTTGCCATAGAACATTTGCTGAAAACAGCCATTTAATAATATTTCTGCACTAAACAAACCTTTCTCTCACATAGATCATGGTATTACAGATTCCAGAATTTATTGGTAGCAATTTCTTCTCTTGCATAGCCTATCCCAATGGCAGTAATAACCTGCAGATACCTATGTTCCTAAACTAGATGTTTGCACAGAGAGATAATGAAGAGATGCTGGTGAGATCAACTGTAGGTTTGTCCGGCACAAATAGTAACAAATATCAGGGCCCCCTTCTCCCACGACTATTATTCTGGGATGGAAGTATGATCAAAAGTCAGGGAGTGCTGTTTATTCCAAAATGAAATGAAACGTGTGCACAGTTAACTGAGGGATGTCAGAATTTGAGGTAAAGGAAGACATTGAACAAGTTGAATGACTTGTCACCAATATATGACGTTTATTAGACACGTAAGCAGGCCCAGATGAATTCAAGGAGAATATTCCTACCCTGACAAAGTGTTACTGGGTTTCTATTTTCAAGTGCAAGTTCAGCCGAAATGTCATGTTTTATTCCAGATTAATAGTTTCCAACAACCTACATCACATTATGCTGAATGGAGTGAACAAACTAGAAAGTAAATGATTTACTGACACCCAACATTTTGTGTGATTCTTTTGATACTGTTTGAGAATGACATGGTTCTGTGCAGAGATTAGCTTGGCTCTTTACATTTCATTTTGCTTCCCTTTTATACTTCACATTTCCTAGAACGTGTAAATGTTCATGTCTCCAAATAGTTTTCATCTAATTGAAAAGCAGATAAATGATCTCGGCAAAAGGAGGAATCCATTTCCTTTCGCATACAATTGCACTTTCATCTGTTCTAATTTCTTTAGCAGTGCTTTGAAACTTCCTCAACATTGAAAATGAAACATTTCTGTTGGATACATTGTGCTTCCTTTGGATTAATCTCACTAACATTGAGCTAAACCAGAGTGTTAAAGGAGTTTATTGGCAGCAAATGGATAACATTACTCTTATTTTTTCCCCATTGTTACCACTCAGTTTTTTTTTATTGAATTTGTTCTATAAAGGGATTGTTTAAATATATGTGGCTTTTTTGTATGCTTCTTTTTAAATTTTGATTTCTCAAGTTCTACATTCAGTTACCTTTTCAGGTATTCAGTTTCATGGTCTTTTTGTTTGTTTTATTATTTGTTATATTCAAAATAAAAACCACAATAAGATTGACTGAAAGTAACATTCATGAATGACCTGACCTTTATTTTCTACCTGGGAATGAGACAGCTAGAAAAAAGGCTGGTTTGCACTTACTGCTAAAACCGTGGTTTTGCATTATGTGCACGACTGATCTGCTAGCTAGGGATGATGGGATTTGTAGTCCAAAAACAGCTGGAGACCCAAGTTTAGGAAACCCTGCCTAGCTCATGGACTTTGCTAGCATTTAGTTTCACTTTCAATGAATCCTTGTTTGTAGACTGGTTTAAAATAAGCACCGGCTAATTAAACAAGCTAGCTTTGTTTGAAGTTGGTTTGCTTAGAAACTGACCAGAGTTAAGTTTTAAATCACACAATCCCTGGTTTGTATATGACAAACCAGGATCCTTTGAAAATGAAACTAAATCCTAGTACACAGGAGGGGGACCTCATGTGAATCTCATTTCAGCGGGTGCAGGTGAAAATGTTGATATACCACCCTTCATGATTAAATTCCACGGCAGCTTACAAAAATGTCAAAATACTATATTCAAATCATAAATGTGGAAATCCACAATAGAAAAAGTATCAAAACCGAGGTATTAAGATCAGCAGAAGCATACTTAAATCATTAAGTATTTAACAGATGCCAAAACAGGTTGCTGCCTCTCATACCTGATCTTTAGTGCATTAGGCGCTCAGCTCTTCAGATGGCACACCTTAAGATCTACTGTTCTTTCATATTAGCATGTTTTCATAAAAAAGGAAACCCATGTGACCAGTTAGAAGCAGTGCTTAAAAGATTGCTTCCTTCTATTTCAAGCAACATCTTTCAGCAGATAAAGCTATGCATGCAGTCCATAATGCAGCTTTGCATCGTACACTGCAATGCTGTGGCAGCCATGCATGCAACACTCTTGCACCAAACCTTAAAGGAGTAGCTGCCGTTCTGTATGGTTCCGCAACACGGTGTTATACTAGCTGCACCTTGCAGCAAGGACATTTTGTAAGCTGGGAGCAATTGACCATCGTCTATGAAAATAATACTCTGCTTAAGATCATGGGTAGGCCAACCAAGGCCTGGGGGCCAAATCCAGCCCAATCGCCTTCTAAATCCAGCCTGTGGATGGTCCGGAAATCAGTGTTTTTACATGAGTAGAATGTGTTCTTTTATTTAAAATGCATCTCTGGGTTATTTGTGGGGCCTGCCTGGTCTTTTTACATGAGTAGAATGTGTCCTTTTATTTAAAATCCATCTCTGGGTTATTTGTGGGCCATAGGAATTCGTTCATTTTCTTTTCCAAAATATAGTCTGGCCCCCCACAAGGTCTGAGGGACAGTGGACCGGCCCCCTGCTGAAAAAGTTTGCTGACCCCTGCTTAAGATCCATCAGCTTAGTTTACTCAAGTTTAGTGAAATAAGCTGCATTTGCTTCCAGTACCATTGTCTTTCCTCTGCAAATGTTTGATAGCCTAATAATAAATACGGATTCTGTATGATTTGTCTTAAGTGGATATTAAGACAGAGCAGCATTTAAGAAATGCTGCACTACTTGGACTACTCAAGTTTTTTTGTTCTGTGTGGGAATAGCAACCTGCTTGCATTACAGTCACCAGATGCAAAGGCTGCTTGAAAGCTTCTGTACAGTATTCTGGTCAAGCTATATTGACTGCACAGGGTAAAGGGATCTTGGCTTAGAAGTCTGTGACTATCATTTGATAGTTAATACTAGTTTTCCGAGACATCTAAAACCTCTGCACCTTCAGTATTCATTTATTAAGGGGCCAAAGCACATGTTACGTTAAAGGTATATTTACATATTTTAAGGGGCAGGGGCTTGCCAGAATTAGGGCAGCACCATGTTTGCAGGGGCATTTAACCTTTTTCTCCACTTGGCAGTCCTGATAAAAATTGCCCCATACCCACACTATTGACTTTAGTATGTATGTATGTATGTAGTCATAGATAGATAGATAGATAGATAGATAGATAGATAGATAGATAGATAGATACATACATACTCTGCCCATCTGGCTGGGTTTCCCTAGCCACTCTGGGCGGTTCCCAACAAAATATTAAAAACACAATAAAAGATCAAACATTAAAAACTTCCCTAAACAGGGCTGCTTTCAGGTGTCTTCTAAAAATCAGATCGTTGTTTTTCCTTGACATCTGATGGAAGGGCATTCCACAAGAAGGCCCTCTGCCTGGTTCCCTGTAACCTCACTTCTCGCAGTGAGGGAACCGCCAGAAGGCCCTCGGAGCTGGACCTCAGTGTTCGGGCTGAACGATGGGGTGCAGACGCTCCTTCAGGTATACTGGGCCGAGGGCCCAGTAATGCCCCTAAGGCAAGGGTGGGGGAACCTTTTCTTTTTTCCCTTTGTTAAGACCCTTTTCCCCTTGGGGGCTGCATGCCAGGAGTGGGCAGGCCAGAGCAGAAAGTGGACAATGCATCCTTTTCTTTCAGCCACCCATCGCCCTCCCACATTATATTAGGCCAAGGGCTACATCAGACATAGGCAAACCCGGCCCTCCAGATGTTTTGGGACTACCACTCCCATCATCCCTGACCACTGGTCCTGTTAGCTAGGGATGATGGGAGTTGTAGTACCAAAACATCTGGAGGACCAAGTTTTCCTATGCCTGGGCTACATGTTGCCCTCCCATGCCTTAGTGAAGGGAAGCCTGCTTGCGGCATGTGATTAACTTGTTCTAGTGTTCAACACTGTGCATTTTATGGTGCTCCTCTTAGCAGGCCTTCATCAGATCGCATTGTTAGCCACTTTTCTTAAATGGGATGCCTCATTCATATTTAAGGTGTTGGGAGACTCTGATCTAAACAGGAAAAAGCAGGTCTGTGCTGTTGCAGTTGCCTCCTTCCATTTGGATATTATGTGGACAAATATTGCTCTGTGTTAATACATATATGCAGTTAGCACATTTCTATTTAAACATTTGAGGTGAAGAAGAATGGGTTTATGGTAGGAAATAGTTAATGTATGCCATTTCTTGTGGCATAGTCCTAAAGCAGCCTGTCATCTCTCAGTGTTTCATATGCACATCTTTTGCATAATGCCTTGTGAAAAGTACCGCAGCATAAACAGCATGCTAATGTGCCAAGAAATGTCTTCTGAAAGAATTTAATTGGGAAATTGTTTCTACTAGAAGCAATAAGCCAGCTGTTGATTAGGAACCAAATTCTCTTGGCAACATTAGTGGGATTTTGCAACACAAACTTTATTCAGCCATGATCATATTCACTAAGTGCACAATGAACAGAATTAAACCTGCATATTTGGCATATTATGTTCCCATGAATAGTCCAACATAAACAACTTGGGAAGTTAAATAATTTCAATGAACACATCTTTGTTCAACACATTCCATCATCTTCGACAACCCCCCTCCCCAAAACTGAAAATAAAACACTAGAATGCAATGTGTTGAACAGTAACAACAAAAAAACAACAGTGTGAAGGCTCAAGAGAGCGCCAACTGAAAATGCAATAAATTATTTGTAATGTGGAGAGTTTCTGAATTTCTGATGCAAATATTCAGACAAGTGAAACTTGTGGCTACTACGGTTTGCACTCTTAGGACCTATTGTGGGCCACTCCTTTATTTAAAAATTCTAAAGAGATTTAGGCGGGGTTGACTGCCAAATCTTCTTAGGTCTGAACAGGGAATATTGGTAGTAAAAGAAGAAAAAACACTGAGTTTTGTTTTGAGTATATGAGAACAGGAATTTAGGTACTGCAGCGTGGGCAGCTGTGGAGGAGGGGACAAAGAAACCCCCTGTGGTGCACAAAAACATGCATTTCCCAGGTTTTTAAGACAAGGATAGAGAAAATGTTTCCCTGAATTTACTTGCAGATTGGCTAAAAATGAATATGATGAAATGGCTGGGAATGATGAGTAAAAGGCCATTGTTAAAATTCTACTAAGTTACTAGTGTTGACTCATTCAAATCTCCCCTTAGTGTGTTTTTTTTATTCAGCAAACTTTTATTCAGTCGCGCCGGGCTCCCAAGGCTTGCGGATAGCTTCCTGAAGCCTGCATTCGCCCCATAGGACGCACACACATTTCCCCTTCATTTTTGGAGGGGGAAAAGTGCATCCTATAGGGCGAAAAATACGGTAACTCCCTTTCAGTGATGAGCCTAACCCTGATCAGTGTCCCCAAATACTGTCACTAGATGATCATTTATCAGACACAAAATAGAGCATTCCTAGATTGTGCCTACCATGGTTATGCAGTTTTTAAAAAATAAAGTTGCATAGAGTCATGAAGCGTCTTTTCTTTTAGAAGAATACCCTTATGCTGGAATTGCTATGCGGATAATAAATGGCAGCTCTTTTGAGCAGAATAGCTTCTGCAGAGGCTTCTGTTTTCTGCACCCCTTAAATTTGATGCTGGTAATTTCAAGTGACTGGCTCTCACCCCTTGCACCATCTACCGCCTATGCATTTAAACTGCACACATTACTGTTTTGTGTCTGACAACTCATAGAGCATCTTGGCTGTGCACTGAAATGAGAGGAAACGTCTTTTAGATCAAGGATTCTGGGGCAGCCATGTGGCTTGTCATTTGATACTCAAAATATAATATAATATATAAATATAATGTGGCTGAGTGAAGCCCCATAGTTTTATTGGGGTGCTTAACTCTTTTGCTGCAATCAGTGGAACTTCCAACTTTAGTTTTGGCTACCTCATGCCCAATAACTTTACTTTAAAATATCGCCATGGGGCTAAACAGGCGATAAATGAATGGATAAGCTACAGGTTGGTTTGGCTGACCTAGAGTGATCTGGGGCTTTCAAGCCATCCAGCAGGAAGAAAAGGCAGGCATCACGAAAGGAAAACCCATGAATAGGCCAAGACCTACTGGAATGCTGGCTGCAGATTCCCAGGAGATGACTGGTGATCCAGACACCATCTGACTCTTCTTTGTGCCTGAAGCCTCACACCCAGCATTGCTGCCTCCACTCCACAGCTGTTGCATGAAGTAATTGACACTGCAGATGCTGCTTCGTTAGTGGCT